GATCTTTGATCTCCCTCACCGGCCCACGGAGGGAGGCACATAGTGCAGGCCGCAAGGATTAGGGTGTGCCCAGGCACAAACGGCACATCTCGTGTGCACGCTTATGAACATGGGCCTAATTAATCAAATATGTGGAGACTAACCAAGTATGAACAGAGAAATAGATCAACTAAAAAAATTATATTGTTATATAAATTTTTTTTTTTTATTAAAAATGTATTTAAAAAAAAAAAAAAAAGGGGGCGAGGAGATTACAAAAAAACGTAATAAATCTATATCGGCATTCTGATTTGTTAATACCTGCAGTGGTTATGGTGCTGCAGTCTTCTGTTCCTTTTCCCAACAGCTGAGCATAAGTGATTATAGCTACAGCAGGGAGTAGAGGAATAGGGTAGATGAATGCAGTTCCAAGATGATTCTTCCCAGCACATAAAATATCCCCCAAACATGAGCCTAGACTTCATGAAGGGTGTAACAGGAATGAAGTTTATTGACAACACACAGGCTTTTATGAGAAATTCTCCTGCAAGAGGACTTCCCACAGCAAACAAAGACAACAGCCAATCAACATACAGATTTACAATAATACACACCCTCTCTCTGCCTGGGAAATATTGAGATAAGTTAAGGAATAAACCAATTATCTCCAGGCAGAGAGCACACAATTTCCCCAAAACTTAGAACACCCCTTTCCCCACAAGGTAACCCCACAAATTACATATCCCCCGATAGTCCCGATCTGGGAGACCAACATATCCAAATTTCACCCAGATCGGTTCAGGGGTTCTTATAAGTATGGAAGTCATGTTTTACCGACCACACACGAGGCTCCTGCCCAAAACAGTTCTACGAATTCAGCGTGTGCGGTCGGTCAATGTAGAAAAAGGTAAAAAACGAACAGCGTATCGAATGGATCCTCCTAGCTCATAGGAGCGATTGATCCCCTTGTCCGTTCGCACAAAACTACCGAATGGCACTCTCCTGGCTGTTCGGTAACTAAAGGAAGCCGGCGTTCGGTAGTTTCAGCGGTGGTTCAGGAGGTCGAGTGTCCGATTTCAGTTCTAGACACTCGACGACCAAGTCCTGCTGACTCCCCTCGTGCGAATAAGATGGCCGCTGTCTTCTATTCCACGTGGCGTTCGGCTATATGAACAGCGGCCACCCAGGGAGCCCTTAATAGATGGTTCCTTTGTAGTTAATGAGCCAGGAGGGTGGTCGGTGTTCGGTAGTTTCAAACTACCGAACCAATATATTCAATGTACATGCAATAGTTAGGAAAAGATGGAACAAAGAAGAAAATGTTAACTAAAAGTTTATTTTCTTCACATGATTGTTGGACTGTGTGTACGAGACTTTGCAAAAATATACACCTGCATTCATACATGGGCCTACGTGCATTTTTAAATCGGAATTAAATACCCGTCACACACAGCCATGGGCGTCCTGCCAGTAGGTGTCATGGTGAATGGAGAAAGGCAGGGATAGGAAACTACAGCTTATCCCTGCTTCTTTCTCCTGACTGAATCCGCAGGGGAGCTTCACAGAGTGCAGCCAGCAGAGACAGACTACAGATCAGGTAAGTGAGGCATGGGTGGGGTGGGGGGGCAGCCTACAGATCAGGTAAGTGAGGGATGGGGGGCAGCCTACAGATCAGGTGAGGATGGAGGGCAGCCTGGGTCCCAAAAGGTGAGGATGGGGGCAGCCTACGAATCAGGAGGGATGGGGGGGGGCAGCCTACAGATCAGGTAAGTGAGGCATGGGTGGGGAGACAGCCTACAGGAAGGTAAAGTAGAAGGAGCAGGAAGGTTCTGTAAGGGGCTGGAGGGGTCAGCAAGGAATAGCAAGGAATAAGAAGAGCAGAAGGGGCAGCAAGAAGCTGGAAGGGGTAGGAAAGGTTTGCAAGGA